GTTTGATATGGGGTTGAAAGGCAATATGCCAAATTTTATTTCGAATTTTTTATCTAACAGACAATTTAATGTTAGAGTAAATTCAACCATGTCTGATCTGTATGATCAAGAGATGGGTGTCCCTCAGGGCAGTATTTTATCTGTTACATTATTTAGTCTTAAAATCAACAGCCTTGTTGAAGTTTTAAAAAGTAATATTGAAGGTTCATTGTATGTTGATGACTTTTTAATATGTTATAGAGGCAAAAATATGAATAACATAGAAAGACAATTACAGTTATGTCTTGGAAGAATTGAAAAATGGGCCTCGGAAAATGGGTTTAAATTTTCCACTTCAAAAACGGTCGGGATGCATTTTTGTAACAAAAGGAAACTGCATCTTGATCCAGAACTCACTTTGTACGGCAACCCAATTAAAATGGTTGATGAAACCAAATTTCTTGGGTTAATTTTCGATAAAAAGTTAACCTTTCTACCCCATATCAAAATGTTAAAATCGAAATGTTTAAAAGCATTAGATATTTTAAAAGTTGTCGGCAGCACCGACTGGGGTGCTGATCGCAACATTTTACTTAATTTATATAGATCTCTAGTTAGATCTAAACTAGATTATGGCTCTATAGTGTATGGCTCTGCAAGGAAGTCCTACATACAGATTCTCGATGCTGTGCATCATCAGGGTTTGCGTCTCTGTCTTGGCGCATTTAAAACCTCACCAGTTGAGAGTCTGTATGTAGAGGCTGATGAGCACTCACTCTCTAACAGACGTTTGAAGCTTGGACTTCAATATGCTGTCAAACTAAAAGCCTACTCAGATAATCCTGCCTACAGCTGTGTTTTTAATCCAATTTATGAAGATATTTTTGCAAAACATGAAAATAAAATTCCCCCGTTAGGTATACGTTTAAAACCACATTTAGCTTCTTTTGATTTAAAATCTGTTGCTCAAGTTGAAACTTGCAAATGTCCTCCATGGGAACTTCCCAAACCAAAAATGATATTTGATCTCCGTGAACACAATAAAAATAAAACAAATCCTCTTTTAATTCAGCAACACTATGCTGAAATCAAAGCCAATTATTCAGATTTTTCAACTGTCTATACTGATGGATCAAAAGATGGTGACAGAGTTGCATCTGCTGCTGTCTTCAGGGACAGAGCTGCAACTCTCCGTTTGCCATCTGATGCATCGATCTTTACTGCTGAAGCAGAAGCAATAATTTTGGCTTTGAAATTTATTGCTTCTTCAGATAAATCCAAATTTATTATATGTTCTGATTCACTTTCATGCTTACAAGCTATACAAAATACTAAAATTAAAAACCCAACAATTCTCAAAATTTTATATGTAATGAGGAATTTAAAAATTCTTCTTAAAGAAATATTATTTCTATGGGTGCCGAGTCATGTTGGAATCCTTGGAAACACAGCTGTAGACCTTGAGGCAAAGAATGCCCTGGGTGACCCTTTATCTAACTGTGATATACCATATACCGATTTTAAATCTAATATTAGAGAATATGTTTTTAATATATTGAAAAATGAATGGAGTAAAAAAGATGGTAATAAATTACATGAAATTAAACCTAATTTATGTAAACCTTTCAATAATTTTATGTGCAGAAAAGATCAGTGTGTTATTTCTAGATGTCGTATTGGTCATACTAGAATAACACACGAATATCTTTTAAAAAATGAAGTAGAACCACAATGTATACCTTGCAACTGCAAGTATACTATTAAACATGTTTTAATCAATTGTATTGACTTTGCTGATATTCGTAAGAAGCATTTCAATGTCAATAATATGTATGATTTATTTAATAATGTTTCATTTACAAATATTGTTTCATTTTTAAAAGAAGTTGGAATATATTCTAAAATATAAAAATGTTATTATATTTAAAACGATTTAAAATTTTTATCACGTTATCTTAATGTTCATTTTTATTTGTAAATAATCAATTTGCTTTAATCTAGAATTTTAGTTTATTGAAGGACCTTTTGTCTGATTTTAAGAATATGCTTTAAATTGTAAAAAATATTCGAATTAGCTCTCGCCGCGATATAGCCTTGTTGTGCTAATGCGGCGTAAAGCAACCAACAATCAATCAATCAATCTAAGGGTACAACGATGGAATTATTTAGTTCGGGATGAGAGATGATAACTCGTCCTGAATCGTTGTCATTTCCTTTGGCTTTGTTTAAAACATCATCAAACATGTTTTCCAATTCCTTTTTAAGATTACGTAGTTTTTTACCCTTCCACGTATCATTAAATTTTACTTTATATGTGGTCTCTTTTGCCAGATTTTTAGAGAATGTTTTTTGTCCGGATCTTCGAAATAAATAGGGGTTTTCTTCGGGTTCTTCGCCGTAACCCTCTTCTTCCGAATCATTCATGGTCAGTGTGACATGTTGGTCAGTACCAACAAGCACATTTTCTATGTCTGACCCATTAGTATAGGGGCAACTGGTGAAGTTAAAAGGTAATACATTTGCGAGGAAGGAGTCTCCCAAATCATCCAATGGACAGTGTAGAGCATTGGGTGTAACCAGTTCGTTTTCCAACGTTGGAGTATATTGGTTAGAAAAGCTTGTGGAGGGTACGTCAGATATATCGCTGAAATGGTCAACTGTAGTATTATTGGCTATATCTACAGTTTTGTTTCGACCTGTGGTCATGTCACCCAAAATTTCATGGATTTCCAAATGGTCTCTCAACTCCGTTGATAAATAAAATCTCTTTTTACACCATGTACACGTAAGTAAAATTACGAGCTTGTCTAATACTTGAGAGTTGTTTAAGAGAAAGTTATCTGTGGCCCAACTTATCAAACTGTTGGCGTCAGTGAAACTGTTTAGAACATCTGTCAAATTGATTGACTGAAAATGATTTATTCTGTTTTGTACCAAGATATGATCCATTAGACCATTGTCTGTGGCCCATTCTTGTAACTCATTTAAAGATGTGAAGTTGTTGATGATATTGTTCAAGGTTGGTGGTTTGTGTTTCATGGTTTCAACTAAAAAAAAAAAAAAAAAAAAAAAATGTAGAACTTGTTCCTACAGTGAATTCATTTTTTTTTAAATTTTATTTCGACAAATGGTTTTTTTTTAGAATAAAACAGATTTTAAAAACAATTATTAAAACATAAAGATTGCTTCCATGAAGACTGATAGTACAAGCTAATGTGAATAAATTATTTCGCTTTTTTTTTTTTACATAAGTTATTTTTTTATTTGACTATAATATCTTAATATAATTATGGGTACTACCTTATGTCTCATCTCCCATACCTCCAGTAAATCTTTCATGTTCTTTTCACTTCTTATAGTGTCAAACCCCCCATATTATGCAATTTTAAAAGTAGGTTAATGGTTTGATTGTACTTCTAACCTTTGTGTTATGTAAAATTTAAGGTTAAGGTTTATTAGATCCCATTAAGATACTATGTTCATCTTTTCTTTGTATGGTTCATTAATTTCCTTTTAGTGGGTAACCTAGATACAAACATCAGATTAAAGGATGGTTCTTCTCCATTTCATAAATAACTCAAGACATTAAAAACAACATATTTAATAAAAAGTAATCATATAATCATAAAATATACATTCATCATATAAAAAATTCCAAGTAACAAAAACCCTATAAGTAACAACCTTTTTTTTCTCTTCTCATACAGTGAACAACATTAATTGAACACTATTTTAGCACCATTTTCATAATAAAAACTTGGGACTAGAAAAATGTCTTTGGTCCATAAAACAATAGTCTTCTAAATAAGACAAGCCATAAAAGCATCAAAAGTTACATAAAGTATCAAAAAGGAAAATCTTTTACAAAAAGAAAGATATGAGACAGTTTAGTGAACACTTCATATTACATATCAACAGTAAGAATAAAAAACTAATATAAAAACAAAACAAAGAAAAAAAAATATATATCAGCTCAAAACCTTTTATATACATAGTGGAATGATATAGTTATAAACTTATGAACACTGTTTCACTAAATGATGTGTACACAAGGAAGACAAAATTACTTCAAGCATCTTACTTTAACAAAAATAAAATTCTGCAAGTCAAAACTCAAACAATATAAAACAGTGTATATTAATGAGAAACTTAACAGCTTTCAGAAAATTTGAGCAATATCACATGATATATAACAACAATCATAACCTTGGGACATTATGTACCTGAAAACAAAACCATACCAACTGTTAGATTTTAAAAATGGAACACCACAACATTCCTGAGTATTTGAGCAAAAAAAATATCATAATATATCTATTTACACTTTTTACACACTTGTAAAAAAAAAAAAGAAACTACTTTGTTTTAATTTAGTTTGACCCAGTATGTTTTAATTTAATTTGACCAAATACTGGTGTAATCACCAAACAGATATTTCAAACAGAACACTTTCTTTTGTAGCACTATTTAAAAAAAAAACAATTTAGAAACATACTTAGCACCAATTTTAACTGCAAACAATAACAAAAAAAAGAGTACAACATATCTTTTTTATTTTTCTTAATACAAAAGAGGTAAAAAAATCTTTTAAATTTCTCTTTGTGTTATCTCAGAAATTTTTTAAATATAGTTTAGTTATCAATATACAAAAAATAATTTATACAAAGACTATATTGATTGATGAGACACTTAAAATATGGGACTTGGCATTGTATAATTAACAACAAAACTTAAAAACAATCCTGAGTATTTCACTTATACTGTGCATGCATATAAAAATTGAAAATCTATTTACATTGTTTTGAAGTCACCAAATACTTTAAACCATTGTTTGTATTATTTATTTATCCACCTGTCATATCACAAATTTATAGTCTAATATTTTCACACTGGTTTGAAAAAGTTAAAGATGAATGAAATCTAAAATTTGTTTTCCCCAAAACGTAATGCTTTTCACTAAACTATGGTCAAAAGCTATTTAATTTTGTTTTAATTTAAATCTTGCATGTAGTATTTTTGAATAAAAATTTAATCTAAAAAAATAATCCAAATATTATCAAAAAATAAAACTAATTTCAGCACAATTTCTTTCACATATAAGTCTCTTCTGTTAAGGAGGTCTTTATTCGATGACTTCTGGTTCGTCTTGCTATGGGGGGTGTTGGATCTTCCATTGGAGGTGCAGATGGTTCTGGAGATGATTCCCTATTGAAGCTTTCAGTGTCTGATGAGGAGGAGTATGTACGTAGGGTAAAAATAGGTGGGATGTCTTCAATTGATCTTAATGAACTAATTCTAGGTACTGTTGGTCTTTGGGGGTGGATATTTCTGGAATGGGAATGATGGTGGGTATTTCAAATGATGGAGTAATATCTAGTGTTGGTATTTGCGTTGTCACTGTCGAATCCTGTTGCGATCTTGTTATGGGAAGATACGGCTGTTTCTGTTGTCTACTTTGGTTTATCATCTTGCCTACAACCAGTGAAATGTAGGCAACAAATAGTCCCGACACTGTCCAGAATACTGCAAAATAAAAAAACACATTTATATTCATTGTATAACCTTACCACAATAAATTGATATTTTACTTGCCATGATAGAATATAATGTTATTTCTTTTCTTTTTTTTCCATTGTTTTTTCATGTCGAGTTAAAAATATACTGTTTAGTTGATCAAATACCAATTCTCCTCATCTTGTGCAAAAGTACAACTATAATGCCAAACCCTCATTCACATTTATGTATTAAACCCTTAATTAACATTTGAAAAAATATTATTTTCTATTAGGGTTAAACAAAACTACAGAACTTACATATTCAGTGTTATACATCTATAGCTAAAGAACTGGCAAAACATGTGATAATTTACCAGATCATTTGTATTGCCATGGTCTTGACTTGATAGACATTTTAATTGAAATGGTTATTCAAACAATAAAAGATTTTTATGTACCTGTCATGAATACATCCATTTTCTCTAAGTAATTTCCCAGGTCTTTCTTCTGTTCTAAAATTATGAAAAAAAAAAGTAAAACACATTTAAATTACTTAAAAAAGTTATATCTCAAATTATTTTTATTAGTCATGAACAACACTAAAAGTCTTACTAAATGTATGTGCATCATATAACCTACATTGTTAACAATATAAAACAGAAACTTGTACTGTTAAAATGCTTTATTTTTGAAAGATCTTATAATTTTATATTTTAGGTAAACAGTCACTTTCTTTTTTTACATATCACCTTTTTTGTATCATTACCTGAATGTGGTTCTTTACTGTTTGTGGTCATCCTGACTGTTGTGGTAGGCCATGCTTCTTTGTGATCTGTGGTCATTGAATCCCTAGTGGTGGGCCATGCTTCTGTGTGGTCTGTTGTTGTTTCACTTATAGGTTTGGTGGGGTTTTTTTCCTTCCTTGTCACAAACACTTCTAATATGTTGTCAGGTACTGAAAAAAAAACATTTTTAACACAAATATATCTTTATAAAATATACAAAAGGTTGTCTTACCAATTGTCTGTTAGAAAAAAATATAATTTTTACAATAGAATTAAGTCAAAATTAAGTTCTGTCCAGTAAAACACCTTTAAAATCATTGTATTGGGGGCCATTTTTGGATTTTAATTCATTTAAAGTATTATAAAAGATTTGACACTTCTGGAATATATCTAAATTTTATAAACTTTTTAATATAATTTATGTATATAATATATACATAAATAAGGTGGTTAATTTTCTCATTTGATTTGTTTTACATTGTCATTTCAGGGCCTTTTATAGCTGACTATGTTGTATGAGCTTTGCTCATGGTTGAAGGTTGTATGGTGACCTGTAATTGTTAATTTCTGTGTCATTTTGGTCACTTATGGAAAGTTGTCTCCTTGACAATCATACCACAAAAGTTATTATCCCTTGAGTAAGGAGACAGCCTTGCAGGTAATTCATTATTTGATAAAGTGACTTACTACTGGCCAGCACAATAAATTTGTCAGTACATAGTACTGTCAAAGCAGATATTTTCATGTGAACTTTATATTTTGTTATTTTCTTTGGTGGGTATAAGATATTTAAGCAAATTTATTTGTGGTTTCTACTTTCCTGTGTAAAAAAAAAAAAAAGGAAAGTACAAATTTACACACCAATAGTCAGTTGTATCATTCAAACAACAACAAAATTCTTGATTTTATATTTTAGATTAACCTTAGGATGAACTTACTTGACAGTCCTGACAAGTTGAATGACATTTTGTAAAAAAAAAAAAATCTCAAAGAATTACATATCAATTAAGCTATAAGTGAATATGGGGTGACTTTTTGAAGTTTATCAAGATAAAGTTTTTAAACAACATAGTAGTAATGATATTATAAGTTTGTTTATGACATGCTCTGCACATATTGGACGTAATTGAATAATGTATTGTCTGTCTTTAAACTTGTGGTTCAAAAATAAATAATATATTCTCCCATGAGACTTTTGAAAATAAACACAGTTTTTATTGTTTTGTTAACCACTACATAATGTCCATTTTCCCACCAAAAGTACAGCTGCTAAATTTATGAAATACATGTTATAATCAATCAAGGGGTCTTTGAGGTGTAAATAAGCTACAATAGGTTTGATTAAGATCTGTATTATACTTATGCTGTGCTTAAACCACAAGGAATGGTCTTAGGTGGATTTTCTTTAAAACTTTGAAATTGAACATTTACATAACTTTTGGTAGGTTGATGTGTAATGTTTTCTTGATCACAGACAGCATTATTTTTTACTTCATATAAGTTACTGTGTTAATGTAAAAACCTACCACATGTCTCATTTGTGCATGTCCAGCTACACTCTCTGTTAAACATGTTTGCTACAGTAGGGGGCTCATTGAAGTCTACCAGATGGATAATACAATCACAATTTTCTGACATCACTTCTACAATCATCACTTCCCTGACATAAACTTCCTTGTTGCAGAAGCAAACGGCCGAAGCTGTGTCATACTGACATTGACCACTTGTAGTTGTAATAAAGATGAATAGAACTGATACAATTTGAAACCACGCCATTTTTGTTTTGAAGAGAACGGAAAAGAGGTCGGGATGAATGGAGAACCTGTTGGGATAATATCGAATGTCACTAGTTGTTTCAGTTAATAAGAAGAAAAAAAAACCCGTTGTAATTATTCTTATTTGTTGTAAATAAAATATTAATTCAATTTCGGATTATATATATTATAAAAGAAAATAAATTCAACTCCATGACATTCGAGTTACCTTCTTACTTTAGAAGATTCGATATAGAAAAACTTACTGTTCTCTAAAAACACTAAGTACCAAAAGGTTACGGTTAAGGACATGGTTTTCATTCGTATACATATAGGTAAACACTAGGGTTATTCATACAATTTGATTAAAATCTGTAAATGAAAATGTATCAATAACCTGAGATAACATTGAATAATTTTTTAAAATGTCATCCATTATTGTAATACTGTTAACAATTGTAGTACTCCACATTGAGAGGAGTAAATTTTATATAATAAAAAAAAAATGTTCCAGATATTTCATTTCAAGCATTTGTTTTATCCACATAATTTCTCCTGTGTACATTTAGTTGAATCCTAAGTCCTATGTACTAGAGTATTAATACAGTGGGTTTTTATTCCCCACATACATTTTATAAAACCTACCATCACTTCATATTTTGGATTGCTCATTTCATACAATTTTAAAGCACACATACATTCTTCATCCTTCCCCCCATATTGACAATTATGAGGTTGTTTTTCATAAGAAGTCTTGTAAAACATTCTTTATATTGTAATTTTAAATCATAGATTCCAACACTAAACATTTTATTCATTTTAAAGTGTAGTAAATTGTTCTGACATATTTAAAAAAAATATCCAAATTTGCCTATTTTCAGTAACTAACTAGTGAACATTATATTGTATTACATAACCATTAGTTAAAAACAGAATCCATGGTCTAGTAGGAAAGGTCTATGATGGAAACCTACAGCCTGAAAAGCATCTTAGATATTAATCTCAGGTACATGTACATGATTTTTTTTTTATAATTTAACACAATTTGTAATAGTAACACTATTTTAATATTTGGTCTTTGTTTTTCATAACAGTCTATGTAAAAGATGTGTAAATTGATAAACCTCAAAAGATGTAAAAATGATAAAACAATAATTTAATGGGAAGTTTCAAACTATTATGTAGTTTACATAATTATTTGTTATGTAAAGATTCAAATCTATTGTTTAAAAGGGTCAATTAGAAGATCTGTAAATCTTAGATTTTACAGTTACTTATTAATTATGTAACATTTTTGTATAAAATATATATTACTTTCTTTTTAACAGCACAGGTCAACAGATAGAAGATATTGTAAGTACTAAAACTATTCTTTTTACACTTAGATTTTTCCAAAGGCTACTTTTATAAATATAAAGTATTTTATCTTAAAAGTCTTCAATGATTGTAGTAAAAGCATGATTGTAACAGTATGAATTTTTTTGTTAGTACTGTGTACCTCCATTTTCATTTTGAACATCCTTGAGCTTTATGTCATCCTTGTACATGTTATACTTGTATTATTTGAATTTTGTAACATTTGCTCCTGTTTATCTTGTTATTTTATAGAATGGTTTCTTAATTTAAATTATAGTGTGTGTGTATTTTTTTTTCCTGTTGACATTATTGTATTTTTAATTATAGTAATCACTGGAGGTTTTTTTCAGGTATAATCAGATTTAATTTATTATGGAAGGAGCAGCAATGATGAAACAAGAGCCTCAAGCAAATGATGTTCAGACAAGGTATTTAATAATTTTTCATTACTGTTATTATAATTGTTCTTAATCATTACAATATGGATAATGAAACTGAATAGACTGAATCTCTTACATTTTTAATTATAAAAAAGAAGATGCAGTATGATTGCCAATGAGACAACTCTCCACAAGAGACCAAATAACACAGAAATTAACAACTATAGGTAGCCATATGATCTTCAAGAATGAGCAAAGCCCATACCACATGGTCAGCTATAAAAGGTCCCACCATGACAATGTAAAACAATTCAAACAAGAAAATTGATTAGCATACTATATGATATTTTTACAATATACCAACTAACTATTCTTATTTTGAATTCAGTTCAATATTTGATAATGATAATAATAATTCACTGAATAGTTATAATTTGAATGTATTTTTTAGGTATTCAGAAATAGCTGTTATTAATCATCTTGAAGACCTCCTGAAAAAGAAAATTGATGATCTGGCTGTAAAAATTATGTACCAGGCTGAATTAATGGAACGCAATAAAATTAAATTGAATAGTGACATTGTGTTTAAGAAGCAATTAAAATCCCGAAAAAGGGATTTAATGTCTGAAGAATTAAACAGTTAACATTGGAAAATGGACAAACCAGATATATGGTTTTTTAAATTTCTAAAGACATTTGTTGTTGAATTAATTTTGTATTATACATTTGTGTAATAAAATGTATAAATTCCATTATTTGATGTCTTTATATAAATAAAGTTATCTTGACAGGCTATGTAGAGAGTTTTTATCAAATGTTATACCTGTATATAATATCTAATTTCATTTAACTTTATAGCATGTAAAGGGGATTATTAGTAAAAAACTAGATATAGTTTAAAAAAAAAAAACAACACCAAGACAAAAAAAATATGCATACCTAATTTATTTCACAAATATTCACAAATAAATTACACTGTACAATATCTGAGAGAAAATATCATTTATACTTTTACAGTTTTTCTACATGTTTTAAACCATATCATCCTAAATGTTTCTGATTCAAAGCTTTATTAATATACTGTGTGATGGCTGTTAAGTAGTTCCACTGTATCAATGTTAATGAAATGCCTTTAATGGTAGGTTTATGGTTTAAAAATTGTCTGATGTCTATAACTGTTCTCTTGTTGTTGTATTCACATATAGTTAACACAAATTTACTAGGTAGACTAAAATGTTTAATAAAAGAGCACAATGACTGGTTGAAGTTTTGGTCAATTTTAATGTAGTCAGTCATGTTTTTGTTTTGTTTTGAAGATTCATATACACCACAAGTTATCCATAAAGTTGTTGCTGATAATATTAATATCACAATTACTCCTGTCCATTTCAACATATTTATATGCATTTCATAATGATAGTACATATCTGACAAACTAGATGCAATACTTTTTCTTGATGATGAAGATGTAGAATTAATCCTTGTATGTGACATGGTTAAAATATTATGACAACCTTTCTCTCTCGTCATCAATGTAAATAAACTTGTAAATAAATAACAACTACTCTTATTTGTCATTTATGGTTGCTTACTTTTTCATTATGGATATAAGGGTACAAGGTTAATTAAATCTCTCTCTCTCTCTCTCTCTCTCTCTGGAATTAATGTTGAAAAGTACATTTTAATATCTTATGTAATAGGATTTTATTATAGTTCAAAAAGTGGTGATATATATTATGTAATGATAGATGGTGTTGCGATAAGAATTCATATAGTGGGGGTTATAATCATTTGTTATGGGGGGTATAGAGCCCCCTATAGTAGTCCTGTTTACATTTGTAATAAACAACAAATAATGAAAATATTTTTAATGTTTATGTTTTTTTTTTTATTTTTATAAATTGAATACAATTTGTGAAGCCATAAATGAATACAAACATAGTTTTTTAGTGTATATTGTCAAACACTGTTTTTCTAATCACACTTCATTAAAGTGTATCTCTGTTGGTAGAGTTCCTGAGTATTTTCTTGGTTTACTTCTTCTTCTGTGGCGATTGTTAGAGTTCCTTCTTCATTTGAGGTTACTTCTTCTTTTCCTTCTGGGAACGGTGAACATTCAGAGCATGTCAGCTTTCCAATTTCATTATTGTGGGTATCTTCACATCTGACAGCATTAGTAATTTCTGGAAAAATTCTGTCATTATTTCCATGGTATCACAAAGCTTTTGTCATTTAACACTGTTTTGAGCTATTCCGCGTTTTGTTGCAAATGTCTTGTCAGATTCTTCTGGTTTCAAGAAATTTCTGATATCCACGGAAGGATATTTTGAATTGATTGTGACGTTTACACCACCTCCTATATGAACAATTTCTTCATCTATCCGTTCACCTTCAATTACTACTTGGAAAACGCTGTTGATGTAATCTTTTTGCTTTATTAATGTCATCATCCATCTTGATAAGGTTAGTGATACGCCTCGTTTGGTTAGATATTTCTTTTGATCTATTGTTTGATAATTACGTATGTTTATATGAACTTGTTCTCTAAACTCTTTAGCTACAACATAACAATTTCCCTGTAAATGAATCGTGCATCTACCTTCATGGCTTTTCATTAGGTCGGCATCATCGTTGTCCTCTGTAGTATTTGTTTCACTGATGTACCTTAATAGATTTGCCTGACCTGATCTGATTAGAGCCATCATAAAATTGTGCAACGATGTTTTCTTAGATTCTATTATCAGTTTTATCAACTGTTGAGACTTCACATATTCGGATGTAGTTTTCAATATTTTGGCTTTTTCTTTCTTGGAAATTGCTTTACGTCGTTCCAAATGATGTGCAACGATATCAAGTTTCAAAAATGTTAGTAAAACATCTCTTGCTTTTCGAAAGTTCCTCTTTATCGTATTATGGTATACAAATGTCGTCTGTCCGTCTGTCTGTCCGGCGTAAACATGTCGCACCGTAACTTGAGAACAACTTATCAAAATTTCATGAAACTTAACATAGTTGTTTCTGATGATGGTCAAACGATCTGTATCATTTGTGGTGAAAATAAGATTAAAACTTTTTGAGTTACGGCACTTAGTAACTAAAACAGGTGTGTGTTTTTATTTCACATGTCGCGCCGTATCTCAAAAACAATTTATGATTATTGCTTAAAACTTTGCATACTTCTTAGTTATATTAATCTTAAGATCTGTATACTTTTTGGTGATGATTCAAAATTTTATTTTTGAGTTATTGAGTATTTTTTAAAAAAGGGGAGGGGTTTTTCACATGTCGCGCTGTATCTCAAAAACAATTTATGATTATTGCTTAAAATTTTACACACTTCTTAGTTATATTAATCTAAAGATCTGTATACTTTTTGGTTTTGAATCAAAATATTATGTTAGAGATATTGAGTTTTTTGTATAAAAAAAGGGGGGTTTTCACATGTCGCGCCGTATCTCAAAAACAATTTATGATTATTGCTTAAAATTTTACACACTTCTTAGTTATATTAATCTACAGATCTGTATACTTTTTGGTTTTGATTCAAAATTTTATTTTAGACATATTGAGTTTTTTGTAAAAAAAAAAAGGGGGGGGGGGGGTTTCACATGTCGCGCCGTATCTCAAAAGGGTTTATGATTATTGTTTAAAATTTTACACACTTTTTAGTTATATTAATCTAAAGATCTGTATACTTTTTGGTTTTGATTTAAAATTTTATTTTAGAGATATTGAGTTTTTTGTATAAAAAAGGGGGGTTTTCGCATGTCGCGCCGTATGTCAGAAACTTTTTATGATTATTGCATAAAAATATGACTTATGTGATTTAAAGGGTTTATTTGTACTGATATCACTTTCCACTAGTAATCTTATCAGAAAAAGGTTAACAGGAAATAGGTGATTAAAGCAGATATGTTTACCATTAAAGAGCACCTTTCTGATAGTGTTTAGGGTGTGTTCTTAATAATGCTTTTGTTTTTCAGGATAGGTATTAAAAACTAAGTGAGAGCTGTTTTTTGGCCATGAAATACCTAAATTAGATTCAAAGTTGATAAAAATGAAGAGTTCTTACTTCACAAGTTTAGACCATAAGTTACATAAAGCACCACAAACAAAAATAATATCATCAAGGATGGGTTTAAGAGTAAGAGGCAATGTGCCCTGTAGTAGCTGAAAAGATTTGATATCTCCTATAGCTCGTTCTACGTGGATGCGTGCATTTGCAATACGCCTTGTCCTTGTAACTGCTCTACTGCTCAGCTGTCTGCCATTTGCAAAAGGTGGAATTGCAAGAGTTGCCCCCTTCAAAGCCAAGAGATCACTTATGGTGAATCCACGGTCAGCCATAACCTCATCGCCAAACTCCAACATTTCCAAGAACCCAGATGTTTGTGTAATCCTGCGGTCTGAAACTGCCCCTGACCACAACTTTGACAAGAAACAGAATGAACCACTTGGTGTTATACCTACCAGAAGTTTTAATGTATTATTATGCTTATAACTTGACCAAGTGATTCTCTGGGCAGAAGGTAATGAGGGTTTTTGAACAAAAAAATCAGTGCAATCTATAACTACTCTGGTTTTAGGGAAAGACTTAAAAGATTTTGGCATATATTTTCCTTTATTTGGTCGTTAGTGGGCCACTTGATAAGAAAATCCAGTTCCTTCCACAAAAACACAACCCATGTGGTAAAGATCTTCGAAACAGTTGAAGAACTTATACACAACATATCTGCTAAAACATATGTGTCCAATCCCTTCCTTAGTTGTACAAGGCTCATCAGGTATTCTTCCCAAAATTTTAACTCCCCTAATGCTGCCCTTTTCTGTAAAAACATCCAAGAAAAGACTATATACATCAATTGTCCAATAATGAGATTTGTTAATTTTGTAATGTTTATCACTTATTTTTGCTGATTATCATCATTTTTCTGGCTTATGAGATTTACATATATTAAAGCCGGGGGCAAAATATCAAAATAAACATATCAAATATGGCATTCTAAATAATATAATTAAAAGCCCAACTGACATGTTTAAAATTACTATTTTCTGGAACTGTTTCACAAGGAAAGTTAATTTAATCAAAACATATGAGATGATTTTTTTTTGGTTTCCACGGAAAATTTCTGTACATAAAGATTCTGTAAATGCATATAATATGGCTATTTTCCATAATTTTAATCTTTGCTTTTATCTGCCTTTCTAATTTAAACAACCAGTTAACATTGTCCTTAGTCTAATATGTAATAATGGTAGGGTATGTTTACACGAGTTCTGCTCATGACTTGGCATAAGGATACACCTGATATTTTTTCAAATAAATTGTGATGTTCAGTTAACCCTGAAAACTGTTACTTATCATCATTGGTAACTTATTTTAAAAAGTTACATAATTTTTACCATGGTAAAAAATATTCAAGTCGATTTGACCACAATTTCATGGTACCCTCAAGAATAACAAAAATCAGTTTTAAGAGTTAAATTTTATACAAAATCATTATGTCAAGTCGCTTGGGGGCGCTGTTCTAACAGAGTATCCACTAATAAAACGTTGTAAACAAAACTTTGATGCAAAACAAGAAATATTTATTGTTACATTTTTCATGTTTTTACAGGTAACAATGAAAACCTTGAAGGAGGATGTGATTCAATGAAGAGACACGTTTTTGAGAAATGACAATGTGTTGATTTTTCATATAAAGTATTAACACTGGCCATTGCTTGAATAAGTGCTCAAAATCCAT